CATACCATAATTCTTCCTTTGTGAAAACCCCCTAAAATATTTAATTCCCATCTTACCCCTCTAGTAGCATCTCACGTCGATTTTTTATATTTATATATTATTTTCAAAATCCCTATTAATAAGGCACCTAATCCCGCTATTTATGCTTAATTATTTAGTTTCTCTAATAAACTGCTCTTAATTAAACATTTTCAAAGAAAAAAAATTAAACCGTAGCATCGTTAACAAGGAGACCCACATATTGGGATTTCCCCCAAATCAAAAACTGGCAAAAAAATCAAAATACTCGTTGCGAATCTGCAGTCACATTCCAAAATCAAAGATAGTTGCTACAAAATCGTCCACCCACTCTCCCCATTCACAGTCGTGTTTTATTTCAGTGGTGTTTCGGTAGTCATAATCCCGTGAATTTGAGTTGCGATAGTCACATTCGAATCTGCTTTTTGAAATGAAGAAGAAGGCGTCACAGAAGCGTAAACGAAGACCCAATCTTCAGGACATTATGCATCTTGATGCCGGTTAGTTTGTATACCTAAATCCTTTGTTTTTGCCAATCAATTTTCGTACCATATATTGCCAAAAATATAGTTTTTTGTGCCCGTAGATCCAATTTAATTTCACTTTAGGGGTTTCTTAGGATGATTTATGGTTGCATCATGACTACATGTGACTATGCTAGATACACATTGAATCTATGGTTGTTCGAATTTCATTGAAAAGTGTTCTGTATGTATGCCCAAACTGCAATTTAACCAGTGTTAATAATGTTCTGACTTCTTAACATTTGCAGCAGAAATATGCTCTGATTTGAGTATGTTATACAAATTTGAAACTAAATTAGTGTATTGTTATAGTCGTTTCATATAGTCATGTTGATATAATATATGCTATATGTCTGCATGTTGATGTAATTAGTTGTATACCAATGTTAATAATGTTCTGACTTCTAAACATTTGTATCAGAAATATGCTCTGATTTGAGTATGTTATAAAAATTTGAAACTAAATTAGTGTATTGTTATAGTCGTTTTATGTAGTCATGTTGATATAATGTATGTTATATGTCTACATGTTGATGTAATTAGTTGTATACCAATGTTAATAATGTTCTGACATCTAAACATTTGCAGCATAAATATGCTCTGATTTGAGTATGTTATAAAATTTTGAAACTAAATTAGTGTATTGTTATAGTCGTTTTATGTAGTCATGTTGATATAATGTATGGTATATGTCTGCATGTTGATGTAATTAGTTGTATATGTCTGCATGTGTGATCGTAGATCCATATTAGATCCATTTTGTTGTTTCAGATGGGATTTACTTTTGTACACACATATTTTTTGGGGCAGCAGTCATGTTTGGGGTATGCGTTGATGTATTAGTTCCCAACAATAGATGTTGTGGTGTATTCATATGGAGTCATGTTGTATTATGTGAATTATACGATAAATTTGAATTACATTCATATATAGACATATTTTTTTAGTAGTCATATGAGAGTCATATGTAATCATATTTGCTATGCTTTCTCATTATTCGGTGCCATAGTCGAGGAAATTGTTGTTACTAACAGTACCATATTCTTTTAGACAGAGGCATCAAAGAAAATGGTACGACAAGTCTGTAACCTGAGATATGGAATACGCAATGTGGAGGTTAGTAAGCTATCGTGACATTCTTCAAGGACGTGCAATTGGAACCAACACATTTTCTTATTTTTTTTCATTTTTTGTTCTTATGTAATATTTTCCAGATTTGGCTGCTTGAGTTTTTTTCTTCTTCTTAATCACTGCTCTGCTTACTTGTCAGTGCAATAAAAGTTGTTTACCCGTACAGTTTTCACTCCAATTATGAACAATAAATTTCTTTTATATTACAAGTTTGTAGTAAATTAAAACGATTTTTAACAAAAAAAACTTGAGTGAAAATCGTCTCAATGTTGTTTCTGGAAAGAACGAAAAGGATTTCATTGATATCAACCGTTGTTTTTACATTTGTGGTCATACGAGGTAGTAGTTATATCTAGTCATTTTATTAACCTAGCAAGTGCGTTAAAATTACCAGTTCATTACATCGAGTTTGAACGAATACAATTATGTGTGGTATAGTCATTTTCCAATTTATCTTGATGTCATATAAATTGACTGCATCATCATATCATATTCAAAAAAAAATGAGCATTAGTTGTCAAATGCCATTCGTAGTCATATTTCTTTTTGTGTAGTAATATTACTATTTTAAGGCATAGATGAGCCATTAGTATTCAAATGTCATGCATGTGTAGTTATATTTCGTCTTATGTAGTAATTTGGTGGCATATTCAAGGCTTTTTTCGTTGATATCATTTCCATTCTATTATCCAGATACTGCAAGGAAGCTGGCTCGGTAGACCCGTAATCAGGGCTCGTGGAATACACAATTCAGAGTATGAAATCAATTCGAAGACGTGTACATCAACCAACACATGTTGTCTATGTCTGATCACGTACCCTGTTCTATATAACGATGTCCAAAAAATGAATCTGTATTATGGCTATTATTCAAAGTGACTACGCAATATGACTGTTAAGTGACATACATATACTAAAACAGCCTTGAAGTTTTTTCATTATTTTTTGATCTTATGGAATATTTTTTTTATCAATATATTTATCTATGTTTACTCTATTTGTATTAGTACGTTCCCTAAATTTTTCTGTATCAGTACATTTATCTAATGTATTAGTACTTAATATGACTATAGTCCAATATGACTATAGTCGAATACGACTAATCGAACATGACTATAGTCCAGCCTTAAAACCCCTTCATGTTTTCGACCAGATTTTTTTCATCACTACAATCCTCGAGTGTAATGAAATTCAATTCTCCTTCCCAATCCTCAAAACCAACACAAATTCATCACTGCAATTAAGATTACAATTTTGACATAATTTGTAATGGCCTGTAACAAATAAAAACAATATAGTACATATTTTTTTCTGCTAATTGAGACTAATTAAGGATCATACAAGAAAAATGTAAATACGCAATCTTTTCTTCTTCTTCTTCGTTCATAAAAATTCGTACAAATACTCAACACCATTCTAGATATCAGTAAAAATCTCTAATAACAATTGAGAAGCTCTTCCAGGTCATCTTTTGAGTACAAATCCTTCTCCGTAACCATCTGCAACATGAAGCGGCGGAAATCGAGATAAGGGTGGTTGAAATCTTTCTTCTGCGCCACGCTCTCGCTGCCGATTCTCAGAATCTCTGGACATCCCTCGAGCTCCGGATGGCGTCCGCCTCTACATCGGTGTCGGAGGATGAGCACATCGGGGTGGTGTCGCAGGAGGTGGAGGAGGAAGACAACAACGCCACCACCACACGCTGCCATCACTGTCATCGTGTAAAAATACGAGAAGGAGGCGGCAATGGTGGTGTAAAATCTGAAAGGTGGGCGACGGTGGTGGTGAAAATCTTTGGTATGCTGATATGAAGAAGAGAGAAGATAGAAGGGTTTGAAAGTGGGGTGAGAAACGAGATGAGAGAGTGGGAGAGAAAAAGAGGCGAGAATGAGAAGAGTTAGGGTTATGTTGGTAAGGGTATTTTTGTCTTCTTACATAAGTTCAAGGGGGTCTCACTAATTTAAATTGAGATTTGGGTGTATGAAAAAATCTTTAAAGTCAATTGGGTTTAGTTCATAATATTTTCGAAATGAGGGGTGTATTGCATATTTCCCCAAAGATTATATATTAATAAAAAACTTTAATTTTAAGGGGCTATTTGATAAATTCTTATTAATAAAGTTTCATACTGTATAACCCCAAAATTTATTTTCGTACAAGTCATAAACTCATTAAATCCAGATTACCTGCATTACCCCTGACTCGGTTTGCAAGAATACCAACAAAAACAAAAATCATTCAAGATAAAGAGCCAAATAGATAATTAGAACAAGAGAGAAGAAAAACATCTCATGAAGAGAGAAAAAAAACCCTAGCTTCAATCTTAGTACAAATATCAATTTAACAATTTTTTTTATTATGATCCAGATTAAATCTAAAAATAAACATGAAAATTATTGTTTTTTTTATGGTCTTTCTATTGTAACTTGAACTGGTGTAATTAAAATTTATATGATGAAGTTACGATCGATTAATAATTTAAATAGAAAAATTGCGTAGTGATTCTAGCTAAGATTACGTAATCTTACTATAGATAGATGATACGAACATGATAAGATTAAGTCAACAGAGTTTCGTTAGATGACCACCCACCAATTGCCACTGTCGCTAGTCGGCAACCACAACCGACGCCTTTTTGGTTGTCGATTGGGAATTCTAGGGAGGGAAATATGTGGATTTTGAGGTAAATTTAGGATTTTAAAATTTTGAGCTTGGTGTGTTAAAAGTTAATGATCATTTATAAGAGATCATTTCTAAGTAAAAGAGACTATTAGCTTATAATCCCTAGCATATAAACAAATTTGCAAGTCGTACATGAACGGAAATAATTAAACAAAATTCGGTTGATTCGGGCGTTTTTTCTTTCTTAATTTGGTTTTGCGCATGATGTTTACATTCGACTTTATAACGAAGGTTATGTAATTTCGGTATTACCAAGTTATTTTTGTGCTTGTGTTGGATCTTTTCCTTTCATTGTGACACATTAGCTAATAAATATCCCAGAAAGCTTATGTCAAAGACTTAGCATAATAAAATGTAAGAGAAATGAAAATATACAAACTCAAAAATAGAATTATGAATGAAAATATCCACATCAAAAGAATAAAAGAATAAAATCTAATCTAATAACTAAACCTAGCTTGCAGTCTCATCTTTTGCTCATGCATTAGCCACTTAATTCGGTGAATATCTCATTTTCGGAAGGAGCTTAGTCTTCCGCCGAATTAACATGGTTTTCAATCCGTAACGAAGATTGATGATTTTCCATAAAACCAAAAAAAAAAAAAAAAAAAAAACACTAAACCTAGCTAAAAAATATAAAATCACCTACAAATGAATGAATAAATTCCCAAAAAAATATGTAAGCAACTGCGTATTCACAACTTGTTCATGGAGATGTAGACTCTTCATCGGGAGACTTCATGTGCATAATTGTCCGATGAAAATTAGAATGTTTGTTAACATCGAAACTCGGGCTTGCTGCAGGCCGATACGCCTCAACCAATCTCCCTTTCTTGAATTTGATCCCACAAGCATTGCACAGCGATTTCGGACCTTGTGGGCCCTCCCTCCACTGCGGTGTGTTCCGAACTCCGCAGTGACTGCACACTTTTTCGAGTAATTTCTTGTTCTTTTCCTCGTGCAGTTGAAGTAATCTCCGATTTTCTTCTTCTAGTGTAAGCTTGGGAACCGGGTTTTTTTTCTGGTTGTTATTGCTTCTCGTTTTCCTCTTCACGTCGGTGCTGATGCAACCAGTATTTCTCTCCGAATCTTGTTGAGCACTGCTTTCCGGTATGGCATTGAGATCAAAATTCTTGTCTTCGGCTTTCGGTTTCGGAGATTCTTTCGGAACTGCACTTTCTTGATCAACTAGGGTTTCTTGTTCGACACTACATATCGGCGAACCCTTGCACTCAACATCACCGTATTCGTTACTTTCCGGAATTAGGGCAATATTGAGATCAAAATTCTTGGCTTCGGCTTTCGGTTTCAGAGATTCTTTCGGAACTGCACTTTCTTGAGTTCGGGCTTCTTGTTGGACGCTAAACTTCGGCGAACCCATGCACTCAACATCACCATCTTCATTACTTTCTTGAACTAGGGTTTCTTGTTGGACGCTAAACTTCGGCGAACCCTTGCACTCAACATCACCATATTCATTACTTTCTTGAACTAGGGTTTCTCGTTGGACACTAAACTTGGGCGAACCCTTGCACTCAACATCGTCATCACGTTCAAGAATTACGGTATTCGGTGCGGGTATTGGTTGAATCCAATCGTCTGTGAAGTAGGGGAAGACGTCGTCGAGGCTATCCTGTGGCACGGACAACCCAGGGCCGATATCGGAATCTAATTCGGTTTCGTCGACTTTCAGATCAAAAATATCACTGAAATCGTAATTCATGATGCCAGCCTTTATCTGCGAGCGCTCCCGTTGTAAATACCTGACGAACAAACTTACACAAATTGCTGTATGTAAACGTAAGAGGCTTAATACATGCGCGCTATTTCACTCTTGAACTGTAATCTTGCGATTCTAGAGAGAGAGAGAGAGGGAGGAGTAAGAGAGAGAGAGAGAGAGAGAGAGAGAGAGAGAGAGAGAGAGAGAGAGAGAGAGAGAGAGAGAGAGAGAAGAAACGAAAATCGCAACGAATCAGTTACGTTGATTCGTTTGAATTGTAACTTATATGTTAGACAAATGATATGTATGTATTATGTATGTCATTTATATATACACAGAGAGACGGGATTTGGAATTTCGTATATACAATGAAACCAACACATTTTTCCTATTGGATTAGATTTTACTTTTCATACTTCTTTATTAAATATTAGGGTTGACTTTGGCCACCCATCATAAGGTAATTAATGTGAAATTAAAAAAAAAAATCTTTTCTTTGGGTAATTACAGTCATACACTTAACGATGAATCTTCTTACACGTCTATTTCTTATGGTGTCAAATTTAGTGGAATCTTCTAGATTATGTGGAATATTCTCCAGTTTGTACCCATTTTACCCAATTTCCAACTCCACATTATGAAACAAGATTATCGTTAGATGTGTCTTGTAAATATCAGATTGTGGTGCATCAGAATTGCAAAGAAATCTCTCTTGTGTGGGTAATTACAGTCACCCCATTAAGTATGAGTCTTCTTACACGTTCATCCTTATGGTGTCAAATTTAATGGAATGTTCTAGATTTTGAGGAATATTCAACTCCACATTTTAAAACAAGATGATCATAAGATATGTCTGTTGGCTTGTAAATATCAGATTGTGGTGCATCCAGTAACTATCTTTTTGCGCAAAACAAGTACAAAATAGAGAATGTACATTCTACGGAATGTAGAAGATTATGTTGAATTTGACACTGTAAAGGTGGACGGGTAAGAAAATGTATAATTGTAGAGCACAATTGTAATTACCCAAATAAGAGGGGAGTGTTCGTAATTTAACCTAACCATAATTTAGCCTAATACTAAAATTACCTTTTATCGAATAGAAAATATATATTAAAATTACGTATACCAATGAAATTAAAATTAAAGAACTGTTAGGGTCCATTTGGATGGGGGAATTTGGGGAGGGATTTGATTTGGGGAATGGATTTGAAATGACTCCAATTTTGGAGTCATTTGAAATCCATCACTGTTGCTCCAAAATCAACTAAAAAGGAGGGGTGGGGATTTGAAATCCATCTCCAAATCCCTCAATCCAAACAAGTCCAAGGGATTTGTTATTATGGATTTGAAATCCCTACCCCAAATCCCTCCATCCAAATGCACCCTTAGAGATATGTGCTTAATAGAGTACGTGCATGCATAATGAATCATGCAAAGAATAATAATCCCATAATTGCAAAAAAAAAAAAGGCGAATCCCTCGCCCCAAGTGCCCCCAACAAGGATTGATGGAGGATGTAAATCATGGTAACTCAACGGCCCGTTAAGGCAGCGGACCCGGACCTGGTGCCCATAAGGAACCAACCCTCATTTGGAGTTGAAATTCCTACACTGCGGCTGCCAGGATTCGATCCTAGGACCTTGCACAAACTTACTACCTCCGTAACCAGTTAAGCTACACCCATGCGGGCATAATAATCCCATAATTGAGATTGATTTACGAGGATAATGCACGCTATAGTAAAACCCTAATAATTCCAAACCCAATTATTCGAAATCCGCAATCCAAAACCCTGATTCCCCGAATCCGACCCACCAAAATTAAACCCTAACCCTTAATCCTATGTTGCTGCTGTTAATGGTCGTCGTCCGCTTTACAAGTTTGGGTCCAGAAATTCATAAATTGTTTAAGATATTTATTCTTGCTATGGTTGGGAATTTTTTTCATTATTTTGTGCTAAAGGATTTTTTTCTTGGATTATAAATAAAAGGAACGTTTGAATTGCGCAAATTGAAAACATATTACATATACAGTAGAACCTCGATAATTTAATACCCGATAAATTAATAACCTCGCTTAGATAATAAATTTTCCCGGTCCCGACTCGGGGACAACGTGCTAAATTAATAATTCGCTAAATTTATAAGATAATACACATCGGGAAATTTTAAGAAGCCCCATATAATATATAAATTAATAATGCATAAAAATAATTCTTAAATTACATGGTACAATACATATTTTATAGATTTACGAAGGCTCAAAAAATATATTTTAATTGTTGCTTGTTTCTTGATGAAGTTCACATTGCCATCAATCTCATCCCTCATTTTTCTTAATATGGTTAGAATTTTTTGTATAGTTTTCTCATAACTCAACAGAAAATTGTTCAATACCATTGTTGCTCTAAGAGTTTCGGTTCGTGAAACAGGCTCTACAGTGTATTGAACTAATGGTACAACGAATAATATACACGTAAAAAAATAAAAATAAAATGTGTTCACTGAAAATAATAATAAAAATAATTTCATAAATTAATAAGTTATTAATTAATATATAAATTAATAATTATTAATTTATCGATAAGTTAATATTTCGCTAAATTAATGAAATTTTGATGATCCCAACTGTATTAATTTATAGAGGTTTAACTGTATTTTGATGAAGTCATCTCATGAAGGGTATTTGTCCAAATTTTGGTTACGATCTGTGTGGTCCATATTATAAGAGGAGGTTTTAGTTGTTTGTCCCACATCGAAGATTTGCTTTTCGTTGGTAGACACGGTGCGCCTGGCAGTGTTATTGATTGTGTTAGTAACAATTTGGTTTTGGTAGTGTTAGTCACAATTTGGTTTTGGTTGATTCAAATTTGGTTTTTTGGTGTTTCTTCTAACATAGTATCATAGCCATATTGTTGTTTTTTTTGCTATTTTCCCATCTTTCGCTCAGTTCCACAAAGATGGAAAACACAATAAATCAACGCTATTTTTGATTTGCAATCTTGTTTTAAGTGTTTCTTCTAACACACCTCGTTGCATTCTGCTCCTACAAGTAATATTCAATTGCATAAATATTATTTATTTTTAATCACACTTATAAGCAAAACTAAAATTAATACACCACCCTCTTATATATATTCAATGAGACTTGAGTGTAACACTTAATTCGTTATCTTGGGAATCACAATATTTCCTAAGTAGGTTGTATTGAACAATTCAAAGATAATAAAACTCTAGGATCATATATATTCGAACAAGTACATATCGAAAACATATAACTGGACTACTCCAATTAGAAAAATAATTCCATATCTAAATTAAATAACTAAATATTAATAATAAGAATCGTAACATACAGTCCCCTAATTAAGACTTTGCAAAGTCGAATCATAGACCTTTAGGAGAAGGGATTTGTCCTCTCCTTTTGTTTAAGATTTCCGGCCTCCGTAAATTTGCGGATGATTTGAAAATGAGGCTTCAATAAGAGTTTGTGGACGATCAATTTTATGCTAATATTCATGTTTGCATAAATAGTAAAGATCTACTCAGTATAAATTTCACGGGAAATGGTATAGAGAATAAATTAAAAAGCAATTAATCATAAGTTCACTAAATAACTAATTATTCACATTGTGAAAAAAAAAAAAAAAAAAAAAAGGGCAAGGCAAATAGTGTGATTAGAGGGCAAAGGAACTCAAAAGGTAAGAATATAGAGAGAAGTGACGTGGAATCTGGAACAACAAGAAATGGTTTAAGGATTGCTTTTCTTCGTCTGAAAAGTTTGCGTGCACGCACTCTCTCTCACACACATACACACACACACTAAATACGTACATACATACATATATATATATATACATAGTTTTATATATGTATTCTGTTTTTACATAAAAGAATTATTTGGAGGGGGCAATTAATAAAAATATAATGGACGAGGAACGAAGGAAACGGATGAGAAGAACAACGTTGGATCAACTTGAAGAGGTTTTTCCACTTTATTCAACTTTAATTTTTAAAACTTTCACCATGAATTTCATTTCAACCTAATTTGTCATTTAATTCATTTCTTGATTTTGTTAGTCAATTTTATTTATTTATTTGTAAAATTATAATGTTATACTCCATGTTCCTAAATAATAGTCGTTTTTCAGTTTTGCACCAAGTATTAAGAATTTTAATAAATGTTTCTTAATTTTAGGAAAAACACATAAAGACTAAAATAACATTGATCTTTTAACGATGAGAATAGAGATATTTAATATTAGAGTATAAATAGGGGTAAAACAGGAAATAATGCGTTTAATACGGCATTGGAATTCTAAAGTTAGGTAATATGGAACAAAATATTTTTCTAAAGTAATAGTTATTGTGGAACCTATGGAGTAATTGAATAATTGATTCGCATAGACCCAAAAACAAAACAAAAAATCGAGTCATGGTAAATGTTTGAACTTCATCGAGAAAATATAAACGTAGTCGCGAAATTAGTTTAAATATTGCTTCCTAACAACAATTAATTAAGTAGCATTAGTCATTAGATCAAAAAAATTGAAAGAAAGAAAGAAAGTGATTTAATAATCAGTATAATTGTTTAAATATATTAGGGGAGACTAATTTTGGCCGTGCCGGAAATGAATGAAAGTGAAAGCGAAGAGGCCGAAACAAGTGCTTCCGATTCCGACCAAGATTTTGAGTGCAGCGACGACGACAACTTCTTGTATGGTGCCATTCAATGTACGTAACCATTTATTGAAATATTATTCAAGAGTTTACTAAATTGGTTTTTTTTAAGGAAATATTAATTATTATATTCAACACCCTTTGTATTTATTATAGAAAATAACTTTTCGGTCTCGAGTTATTCATATGAATGAAGGTTTTTGCTAAAAATAATAAGGAAGAATTATTTAATAATTCAATATAATATTGGTAACTAATAATAATAATAATAATAATAATAATAATAATAATAATAATAATAATAATAATAATAATAATAATAATAATAATAATAATAATAATAATAATAATAATAATAATAATAATAATAATAATAATAATAAATAAAAAAAAATTAATTACTAGTGATGTGATTTTTCCAATTTCAGCTGGGCTATATTCATCGGAGGATGAGCTTGAATACTTTTATGATGATGATCAGGTCTCTTTTATTTCTCCTGCAATAATTTTAATCATTTAATTCAAACTACTAAAATATATGAGATTCTATTATAATTTATTCAAAAATAAAGTTTTTTTCTAATTTTCTTGAACATTAAATTCTATTATTATTCTTTTTATTTGAGAGAATCATATGCTTTTGTTAGGAAGTGGAACAAGATGATGTTGATCCAGACGAATTGTCGTACGAGGTAAAACCAATTAATCTAAAAAAATATGTGTTTACAAAAGTTGATAGTTGTGACTAAAATTAATCACTTATTTTATTGGACAAAAAAAAAAAAATCAATTCTGAGCAATTAATCTAAAAAATTATGTGTTTACAAAATGTATTTTAATTTTCAATTGTAAATTACAGGAACTGATTGCTCTAGGAGAGATGGTGGGAGTGGAGAACAGAGGTTTATCAGAGGCTGAAATAAATAAACATTTAAATCCAATTATATTATGTCAATCTACCACCAATTTGCTTATTGACAGGTGCGTATATATGTTTTACTATATTTTATTGCAAATGTTGATACATACATATATTCTTTAAACTAAGACACTTAATTAAACTTTGGTCAAATACTTAATTTATGTTGGTGAATTACAAAAACCTCCTTTAACTTTTGATGTTATTCTTAACAACTACACATGCACTTAAAAGGTGCAAGTCGGAACGGAATTTTCATTTTCTGTCGGTTCTGATTTAAAAGATTCGATTTTAGAACATTTTTTTTTCATTCCGATTTTCGATATATTTTTTCATTCCGATTCTTTGAATTTTAATCTCTATTTTTTATATTTTTGGGGGTTGCGTGGCAAGATAGGTGTGTGATATGCCAAGTGGAATATGAAAAAGGGGACAAATTAGTTACCCTAGGATGTGATCATCCATACCATGGGGATTGTATAGCCAAATGGCTTCAAATTAAAAAGGTGGGAAAATAAATTACAAATTATTCTCTTTAAATTCTTTTTTTTTTTAAATAATCATTCTTAATTCGATTTTATTTTTTTTTATTTAAATGTTGTCTTTGTAGATTTGTCCGATATGCAATAACGAGGTGACACGTGTAGAGATATCCAAGACCGAAGAAAAGATGAATGCAAATGAATTTGAATCTTCTATGTAATTACCAAATAGGGAAAATCAGTAATGTATGGGGCTATATTATTTTCTATTTAAGAATTAAAGATTCAAACCCATCACAATAAGATTACTTCATTATTTATTTTTCATTGTTTAGTTCTTTAATAGCAATTCTAATAAATAAAAAATATATAACAATAATCTCAAAAAATAGGCAATTTCCTCGTCAACTCTAAATTTCATTTCTAGGGTGTAAATCCGACGAAAAATAATTCTTCTGAAAAAAATGTCAAATCTTTTCGAAGCTGAAAACTAATTTCAATTTCGTTCCAAAAATAAAAAATCGGATTGTTTTAATCGAAATTATCCAACTTTTTAGTCATCTAAATTATAAAATGCATAACAATATTGGTATCTTAAGTGCATTATTCCAAAAATGTACACATGGATGAAAATGCAAGTACTTCCAAAAATGTTAGTGGAAAGATTCCATAGAAAAAATCGAACCACGAAAAAAAAAATTAAAAATAAACTGAAATGATAAATGTCGTTTTAATTTTACTAATGTCGTTTTGACTTCGAAAGTGATTTTGATTATTTTCTATTTTGAATTTTGCAAAGTTCAAAAGACGGAAACTGTAGTCCGTTGAGATAGCTTTCTAATCCAACATGAATCACCTGGATTGGATGTCGGGTGACAAAGTTATGCATGAATGAGTTACGTTTCAAATTTTACATAATTTAAAACATCAAAGTTGTGGGCAGTGTTCATTAATTCATGCATAACTTTCTCAATTGACATCCAATCTTGGCGATTCAAATTAGATTAGAATGCTAACTCAAAGAATTACAAATTCCATGTTCTGAATTTTGCCAAATTCAAACTCGAAAATGGTCAAAATCACGTTTGAAGTCAAAACGACATTATGAAAACTGAAACGACATTTATCACCTCCCAAAATATATATATATATATAAAATATAAAAAAATAATAGTGTTCATATAAAGTAAGATCACCTGCTCCGGCGGAAAACGAGAGAAATCTAGAAATGGCGGAGCTGTTCGACAAGCAGGCGGCGATATACTCGGACTCGCGGCCAACTTATCCGGCAGAATGGTACAAAATGCTGGCTGATCTCACCCCCCACCACTCTCTCGCTTGGGACGTCGGCACCGGCAACGGTCAAGCTGCTCTCGGTGTCAGTCTCTCTCTCTCTCTCTCTCTCTCTCTCTCTCTCTCTCTCTCTCTCTCTCTCTCTCTCTCTCTCTCTCATTTCCTTTCCTTTTTTCGATTTTACTTGCCAATTCTATAATCAGATCATCAATTTTCTTTTTCGTGGGGAAATTGAATTTATTTGTTCTTAATTGGATTGATTGATTGTGAATTTCATCCCTAATTTGATTAATTCCCCTATAATCACTGAACAAAAGATACACCCAAAGAGGGGGCGAAGAGGCGGTATAGTTACACTGG